CTGTATTTCATTATTGGCTTATAAAATGCAACCAAATTCTGAATATTAATTTTGTATCCTGAAACTTTACTAAATTTGTTGATTAGTTTTAACCGTTTTTTGGTAGAGTCCTTAGGGTTTTCTACATATAATCTCATGTCATTTACAAATAGAGATGGTTTTACTTCTTTCATTTCGATTCTCATGCCTTTCATTTCTTTTTTCTTGGCTAATTGCTATGGCTAGGGCTTTCAATACTATGTCAAATAAAAATGGTGAGAGTAGATATTCTTGTCTTGTTCCTGATCTTACAAGAGGAACTTTTGGCTTTCCACCAACAAGTAAGTGTGCGTTAGCTGTGCGTTTGTCATTTATAGGCTTTATTATGTTGAGGCACATTCACTTTATATCCACTTGTTGACAGTTTTTTATCATAAATAGATGTTGAATTTTGACAAATTCTTTTTCTGTATCTATTGATATTATTATGTGATTTTTACCCTTCATTTGGTTAATGTGGTGTAAGACATCAATCTGCAAATGTTTAACCATCTTTGCATCCCTGGAATTAATGTCCCTCGATTATGGTGTAAAATCCTTCTAATGTATTGTTGGATTTTGTTTGCTGATAAGTAATTGAGGATTTTTGCATCTATGCTCATCAGAGATATTGGCCTTTAATTTTCTTTTCTAGCAGTGTCTTTGTCTTGTTTTGTTATCAGGGTAATGCTGGCCTCCTAAATTGAGTTTAGAAGTGTGCATTCCTCTGGTGTTTTTTGGAAGAGGTTCAGGAAGATCGATTTTAATTCTTCTTTAAATGTTTGGTAGAATTGACCTATAAAGCCATCTGGTACTGGGCTTTCCTTTGTTGAGAGGTTTTTTATTACTAATTCAATTTCTTGTCATTGGTCTTTTCTTCCTATTTCATCATGATTCAGTCGTGGAAGGTTGTATGTTTCTAGGAATTTATCTATTTCTTCTAGGTTGGCCAATCTGGGCATGTAATTGTTCATAGCAGTCTCTTATGAGCCTTTGTATTTCTGTAGTATCAGTTGTAACATCTCTTTCATTTCTGATATTATTTATTTGAGTCCTCTCTTCTTGGTAGATCTAGCAAAAGCTTTGTCTATTTTGCTTATCTTTTCAAAACACCAGCTCTTTGTTTCATTGATCTTTTCTGTATTCCTTTATTCTCTTTTTCATTTATTTCTGCTCTGATCTTTGTTATTTACTTCCCTCTGCTGACTTCAAGTTTTGTTTCTTCTTTTTCTAGTCCTTTGAAGCATAAAGTTAGGTTATTTATTTGTGGTCTTTCTTGTTTGTTAATGTAGGCTTTTATCACTATGAACTTCTCTGTTAGAACTTCATTTGCTATCCCATAAGTTTTGTTATGTTGTGTTTCTATTTTAATTTTTCCTAATGTATTTTTTGTTTCTCTTTTGATTTTTTTTTTGACTTATTGGTTATTTAGTAGCATGTTGTTTCATTTCCACATTTATGCGAATTTTGCAGTTTTCTTATTGTAATTGATTTCCAGTTTTATACCATTGTGTTCAGAAAAGATGCTTGATATTTTAATCTTTTTAAATTTATTAAGACTCATTTTGTGGCCTACCATATGATCTATCCTGGAGAATGTTCCATGTGTGTTTGAGAATAAAGTGTACTCTGTTGCTTTTGAATGGAATGTACTGTAAATGTCTGAGTAGTCCATCTGGTGTAATATTTCCTTTAAGGCCAATGTTTCCTTATTGATTTTCTGCCTGGAAGATCTATCCATTGACAGAAGTGAGGATTAAAGTCTCCTACTATGTTGTATGATGTCTATTTCTCCTTTTAGGTCCGTTAATATTTGCTTTATGTATTTAGGTGCTCCTATGTTAGGTGCATAAATTTTTAGAGCTATTTCTCAGTTCATTATAGCCTTGTAGGTCTCATAGATACAAGCCCCATTGGCTTTCAAAGCTAGATGTTTTGGTGGGCTTATCTCTCAGGTACAGGTGTTAAAAGTTGGGGTGCCAGATGTGAGAGTCAAACCCTTTACTTAGAAAGATGCTCAGAGTTGTGAGTTTCCTCTTGATTGTTGATCGATGTGCCAGGGATGGGGTTTATAGCAAGATTGTGTCTCAGCTTCTCCTACCCATTTTGATGTGGATTTTTTATTGTTCACCCAATGTATAGGAATTGTTCAGCTAGTTTTGAGGTTTCTTTCAGAGGAAATTCTTCCATATGTAGCTTAGGTATGTCCATGGGAGGAGGCGAGTTCGAGATCCTCCTATGTTGCCATCTTAAACTGGAATCTCATATAATTTTAGTTGCTTTTGGTATGTAGATATCTGATTATAAATGTCTGACTTCTCCTTAGAATGTAAATTTCATTAGAGCATGAGCCCAGCTTGTTCACTGTTCAAGCTCTAGTCTTGGGCATGTAGTATATGCTCAATCAAAAATTTTTGAATAAATGAATGAATATATCCCTCTTTTTTAAAATGTTCTCATTGTGGATGGGGATTTTGTCCTTTATTTCTTGTATCTCCAAGGACTCAGGAAATGTTTGTTATTTTGATGTTTTATTATTTCAACAATTCCTTTTTTCTTTTTTTTAGACAAGGCAACCCTTGGTTGACCTCACAGATTGCAAGGACCTTGTCAGCTTACAATCTCTTATTTTTTATTTTTCATGCCTATAGCACCTGGTCTTCCTAGGTGGTCTTCCATCCAAGTACGGACCAGGCCTGAGCCTGCTTAGCTTCCGAGATCAGACGGAATCAGGCTTGTTTAGGGCGGCATGGCCATAGACTATTTCAACAATTCTTATTGAGCTTCTGTTACATGCCAGCCACTGTGCTAGGTACTGAGAGTCCAGCTGAGTATAAAACTGAGAAAACTGTTGTTTCACAGACATTAAAATGGATACTAAATCTGAAAAACAAATCATTTGATTTTTTTTCTCTGATGTTGAAATATAATTAATATCCCTCTTTACTTCTTGTTTCAAAGAGCAAAGTGTTAGATAATGCACAGCCTTCTGGGGAGACAACAAGTTCACTACCTCTCCTGGAGGAAACAGAAATATGTTAATTAGTGAATGGTTAACTAAATCTCTGAAAAAGATAGGAAAGAAATAAGGACAAAAAAGGGACGATGGCAACAGGATGGTTACTACAAGGCAGAACTTCCTCCGTAGCTAAGCTGCCTCTCTTTCATGCCACCATCCTATACGAACTGCTTTCACCACACATCTGTCCTTTCCAACCTTGAAAGCCCGTCATGATATTTATATAGGCAGATTTTGAGTGATTGACCCTGAACTAGCTGTTGCCAAGGTATCCCCACTTATTTTTTTTCTCCCTGCCTCCTGGCTCTTTCCATTTCAAGGCAACAATGAATTCAGAGCAAGGAGTAAAGCATTACCTCATGTAAAAATAGTCTTGTGCCTTAAAAAATACTTTTTCATAAATAAATACAATATCTCATTTGATCCTTTCAAGACCACAGTTAGTGTGGAGGGTTGCAGTTAGAGCATCCAAATACCCTCAATTAACCCTTCTGTTGTCTCAGCATCCCATCTGGCTTAGCATTTGTCCTGGATTTTTTTTTAATAGGCTTAAATTTTTTAGAGCAGTTATGTTCACAGTAAAATTGAGTGGAATTTGCAGCTATTTCTCATCTACCTGCCCCCACCCCATACATGCAGAGCCTTCCTATCAGCAACCCCCACCAGAGTGGTACGTTTGTTACAATGGGTGAACCTACATTAAAAAAATTTTTTTTGTATGGATGAACCTATTTTGAGATTTACATTAGAGCTTCATGGACATATCATTGTCACCTAAAGCCTGTAGTTCACATTAAGGTTCACTCTTGGTGGTGTATATTTTATGGATTTTGACACATGTCAAATAGCATGTATCTACCATTATAGTGTCCTACAGATTAGCTTCAAGGTCCTATAAAACCTCTGTGCTTTGCCAATTCATCCTTTTGTCCTAGATTTTTTATTTTGTAATAATGTTATTAGAATTTTCTATTTGAAAATATTTTTGATTGAAATATTTACTAGGTCTTTCAACACCATAAAACTATTTTCTTAGTTAATATTTTTTTAATTTTTAATTATTTTTAGAATCTTTTACTTTTAGTGGGTTCCAATGTGGATGATAAATTACATGGTCTCCATAATTATAGTCTATATGGGAAGAAAAACTGGTCCCCAGTGAGAAAAGGACTCTTCTTGTGTATGGCCAATCAGGTATAGAGCAGGATTAAAGTCCAGGTGTTCTGACTTCTGGTACTTTCTCTGCCAAAGACACAAAGCTCACTGGAGAAGAAACTGAGATCTCAAAGCTTATCACATCCTTATCTCGTTTTAAGTGGTTATGAAAGTGAGATTGCTGCTGTATTCCTGATTCAGATGTGAGAAAATTCACTATGTAAGTAAATAAATTATGAACCCAATAATGAACAAAACAGGCACAAGGAATCCAAGTGATCAAAACTCAGGCAGGCAAGTGAAGACCTACCTAGAAAGGATGAAATACTATGAAGGTGGAAGTTTAGATTTAAAAGGAATACTATGCTTTCAGAGAAGATTCCATAAATGGTTTGATGTTCGATGATATTTTGAGATTTACATTTAGCTTCATTTACATATTTCTGGGACACAGCACATCTGTTTATCCAGCAGAATGAGTCTGGATTCTGATCAAATACATGTTAAACTTGCCTAATGTGATAATTAAGCATTCTGTAATATCAGCCACATATAATTTTAATACAATGTTAGCATCCTAAGACAGAAAGAATGATCACTCTTTTGCAAAATAGATTACAAGGAGTAGGGGAAATGACCAACATGTGAGAAAATGGTAAATGATACAGAATGGGTTATGTGGACTTGGTCCTCTTCTCCCAGGAGTTTTTAAAAGGCATTGCATTGTATGCTATCCTGGTGAGGGTATTTACTTTAGGTGTTTTCTTTGTAAATGGTGTTATGATATGCTTTTACTTATCTTTGTCAGGCCTCTCTATCCGGAGTGTGTGTTGGAAAGCCGACCGCCTTCTAGCGGGGACCCAGGACAGCGAAATATTTGAAGTGATTGTTCGAGAACGAGACAAGCCGATGCTGATCTTGCAAGGCCACTGTGAGGGGGAGCTCTGGGCTCTGGCCCTGCACCCCAAGAAGCCACTGGCTGTGACAGGCAGTGACGACCGCTCTGTGAGGTGAGGCCCCAGCAGTGGCTGTCATCACCTTACTTCTTTGGGATAACAGGTTTATTTTGCCCTAATTTGCCTGTTGCTTAAGAACCACAGTGCAGAACTGCACAATTTTCCCATGGAATTTTAAGACATTTAGCTCAACAGAAGTTGGCTTCTTGGCATTTCGTTGTTGTTATCTTCCTTTGGCTCCATCTTGAGTCATGAAAATGTTCTTAGAAACGAAAATACATTACTAAGGGTAACACTGGCTTCCAGCGCCAGTTCTGAGAGCTAAACGCACTCCCCTGAGATAAGAGCACATTTTCCCCTCGACCCTTCGGCCCTCTGCAGGGAGCTGCACAGAGATTTCACAGTTTAGTTGCAGACACTCATTCTTTCCCCAGCAGAACTTAAATTCTGATTTGTCTTGAGTATATGGTAAATATTTCTTTATAAATGCTGAGATGAAATTTTGAACATTGTCCTCACATCAGAGGGAAGTACTGGTTCCTGAGAGAGTACACAGTTTTATTAGGGCCTCAACCGTTCTTGCTATGGGTCATTTTTTGTTACTCTTTGACAGCACAACGTTGCATAAAGTGAACAATATGAATATGCTTCTCATATCCTTGTGACTACTGAGGGACTGAACATGTAATTTAAGAGTGTCAGATGAAGACTACTACATTGATTTCAGTATTTTTGTATTACTGAGCTTTAAATGTGCTCAGCAGCAAACAGGTTGGAGAGAGAGTGAATGACAGTGAAAGAGACAGTGATCAATTGATCGATTACTGCTTCTGGGTTTTAATAGTTAAAATAGAACATCATAAACTATAGCTTCCTCCTTCCTGCTTGCCCTTATTCTGCATGCCAAGATACTCCATACGCTCAATAGTAAAGTATAAATCCCCAAATCCATTTTTTAGTGTCTACCAAGCACTGCACCTCATTGGTCTAAAAATCAATGAAAGCAGCTCCAGTTTTCTCCTCATGTGACGTAAGTGTGTGTTTGCCTTGTCTTCATTCACTTCCTCTTCTCTTCCTTTTCCTTTCATTACTCTTAGCGTTCTCTGAATAGCCACAACAGTGCCACCAAATTATTCAAACACCTGAGTAGCTCCATTCATACCCATCCAGATAGAAATGATTTCAGGAAAGCCTTTGGCTTTTGTATTTTGACAAACCGTATTGGGTCTGAGAATTGCACACATCCCCAAGGAGCCCTGGCTGCCAGAATTTGTCTTCTTCTCCTTAACCATTAATTTGGCTAAATGTAATTTTATACTGAGTATGGAAATTTAGGAAGGGTATAAGTCATAATTTATTGAGAAAGATTAGCCGAATGATCTTATAAGGATAGTACAATTTATTGAGGTGTGATGATTTCTTCATGCTAGTAAAGCAAAGCTTACATTGCTGAAAATAGTGCATGGCTAGAAATAGTATGAGATTATGAATAATGAACAAGATATTGAAAGAATACCATAAGCCGAGCAGTGCAGCTGCCTAAGGTTTCAGTAAACTATTTACTGTGCAACTCTGCATTGTAAGGGGTGTGCCCCCATCCCTCTTGATAGCAGAATGCATTAGAAAAACTGCACCGCATGTGACTCATTCTTGCCTCTATTGCAGAGCTCTAGATTCCCGATCTCCCTAACAGATATTGTTGTTTGCATGTTAAGACTGTCTAAAAAGTACTAACAGATAGAGGTCCCATGCACAGTTGCAACTCACATATTAACCCTTCCTTGTAACTTCGGATAGTTAGTTCATGTTCACTCAGTTTGAGATACCTGGAGTAGGTATTCCTGGAGGTGTGGAAAACTGTACATTAGTTGCACTTGTCCCTTGACTGCCATCCCCACAGCAGTAGCTGTGCTCATCCATCAGGGTCACTGTGAAGATCTGCCCCAACCATGAGTGGATCTATGGGCAGCAGGGAACCCAGGGAGCTTGTGAGGAAAGGCAGCATATGACCGTACACGGCTGGCTTGGGAACTGTCTTGGGCAGGAGTATCATTTGCTCTTCTCCATCTCTGATATGTTTTATTTCTAGGGAGGCCAACAAATGGAACCTGTTATTTCGATCTATATGTACTTAAATGACACAGTTACTACAAGGATACTCATATTTAAAAAAAAACAAAAAACAAAAAAACAACTATAATAGCATCTAATAGTGCTTATTATAAGTGTTATTAACAACCATTGGTATACGTAAAGAACAATTTTTAATTTTTAAAGAGAAAAGCAGGATTTTGTGTGAATGTGGTGTTCAAAATTTCCTTATTCTATGAATCTCAAAATTTTGGGAAATGTTATCTCATTTTATATTTCTTGCTGTGTATTTCAAATGGTGAAAACGACTCAAAGTTAGACTAAACACTGTCCCAGATTCCCAGACATGCCGTGAGGAAGGACACTGTGGGAGGTTACTATATGCTTTCTTGTTACTATCGCAGTGTGATGAGCAGAACTTCCTGCCTTGGGCAGATGATGATAAGTCGGTTTTGTGTTTTTTTACTTTGTTCTTGTGCTTAGGCTGTGGAGTCTGGCTGACCATGCCTTGATCGCCCGCTGCAACATGGAGGAAGCAGTTCGCAGTGTTGCTTTCAGCCCCGATGGATCCCAGTTGGCCCTGGGCATGAAGGACGGCTCTTTCATTGTTCTCCGAGTCAGGCTCGTACTGATATTGAAAATGATATTAAATGTGTTCTTTTGTTAAGATTTTCCTGGACCTTAGGAATGATGATGTATTCCAGGACCTTAGGAAAAATGCATTTACTCTTTCAAGTAGGAACCCTGTAGATTCACAATCCCCTACCTGGAATTCCAAAATCTTAACACTGAAAATCCAGAATTCTTCGGTGACTTATTTGGCAGCACAGCCTGCGCCAGTGAAGTGATTTGAGACTGTTTATAGTCTATTAATCTCCTAGTAGGAATAATCACGTATAATGTGATTTGCTGCAAAAATTTTAATATATTAATACAGGGTGCTGCCCTAGCCCCTACTGGTAATGTTACATAATATATTGTTTCTGAATCTTTAAAAAATCTAATGAGTAACGTATTCCCAAACTCATCTGGTCCCAAGGGTTTTAGATAAGGGATTATGTGTTTGTAGCAAGCCAAGAAAGAAGGAAGAAAGAATAAAGCATCCTCTAGTACCACCTTGTTTTTAGAGGTGAGCTTGAGTAAAAGATTTCTTCTATCCACAATTGACAATAATATAGAATATTTCATATTTATTAACATCTTATATTGTTTTTACAGGATAAAAATTGCGATCTACCTTTGTAATTCCTTTGAATGCATTGATTATCCTTTTGGCTCACACATTTTGTGATTACAGAGAGGAAATGCAACCATAACTTAGATATGGCAAGTTTTGCACAAAGACAATTCTGTATAGCTTTTAAAAATGCTCTTGGCACAGTTTATTAAACTAAATTTTCATTACCAGCCACATGTAACTTATTACCAAATTGGTGGGCAACATTTTCTTTCTCTGCTTAGTGATGTATGAAAAGATGGCTAATTACCAGATTTTTTTTTCTTTTTGATGGATTTTTCCCAAGCCAAAAAAAAAAAAAAAACTCTCACACCTATTTAATGGCATAATAAACTGTAGTGCCATTAATAAATGATAGCAGGTGTGTAGAATTATTATGTGGAAGCAAATATTTGGTATTATTTATACATTCTATTTATTTTGGAGTTAATGAAGGCATCATTACTGGCTCATGGGACCTGCCAGTCATAATCCTGTCTCATAGTTGTAGAAAAACACTCAGTGAGCTTTCAATTAAAGATAGAAATTCTTACCAGTATCTGATCATAAAAGATACAGAATATTCCCGTGATTCAATGTATGCATTTTTGACCTTTCATCTGAAAGCTAAATAATTACATAACATTTAAAAAGTAATTTTCCTCTTCTGCTTTTTGGACTTGCAATTTTGGCAGCAATAACATTAAGCTTAAAAGTCACTGGATTCTTATACTTAAAATATAAAAAAGATGGTTTATTTTTATGCTAACCTACATATATTTGCTGTTTTCCATGACATATCTTAAAACAATTTTACAAATCCCGATTTTTTAACAAGAAATTTTAAGGAAAAATAGTATATAATTGAACATCAGAGGAAATATGCATTTTATTAAAATTTTTTGGTTTTTACTTTGGAAGCTCAAAATATTATTTAAAATGTTTATTATTAAATTTGTTAAATTTGCCATAAACTTTAAATATTTTATATCTTTCCTCAAAAGTTAATTCTTTAATTCCTGTAGGTTTTCTTTCCCTTTCAAAACAGTTTTTTCTCTGACACGTGTACTTTAAAACACAACTTGAGGGCCTTATTTCTAGATTTGCTGCTTATCACTTTGCTTTTTATTTTTATAGAGATATGACAGAAGTGGTTCATATCAAAGATCGAAAAGAAGTCATTCATGAAATGAAATTTTCTCCAGATGGTTCTTATCTCGCAGTGGGATCCAATGATGGCCCAGTAGACGTCTATGCTGTTGCCCAGAGGTATAAGAAAATTGGAGAATGCAACAAGTCTCTTAGTTTCATTACACACATTGACTGGTCTTTGGATAGTAAATACTTGCAAACTAATGATGGCGCAGGAGAACGACTGTTCTACAAAATGCCGTGTAAGTCATGCGGGCATTGAGTATTTATGAAAAGCAAACCTTTGAACCACGTGAAGAAAATATGAGAGCGTTGTTATGACCTCAGGGTAAAGAATATCTTCTGAAACAAGACCCTCAAATCATAAACTGTCAAAGAAAAGATTAAGACATTGGAACACATTAAAATAAAAAATGACTGCACAACATGGAGACTGAATACAATGAAAAGACAAGGCATTGACTGGACATAAATACTTGCAATTGTTAAATATACTAAAGATTTGAGGATCACAGATTTTATTTACTGTGATTGCTTAGTCTCAAATCTGTGTTCTTAGATGGAAGTCATTATTTGATTCCTTGGTAAAATGTGCTAATTGAGATTTTTAAAAAAAAACAGTTTTTATTTGTAAACTGTCCCCACTGTAACTTTTATAAGAGATTCATCTGACTTATATAAAGTCATTTGGTAACATTTAGTTTGTAATACTAAAATGTCAGAAATATAACTTTCTGTGTAAGAAAAATCTTAATATTTAATATGACCCTTGACCTCAAATAATAGTTTCTTAAAGTTTTTATTGAAAAGTTAATCTTTACCATAAAACGAGTAACATAACTTGAGTCTCTGCCCTATCAGATTCGTCAGCTATTACTAGGTGCATATTTCTTACTTTCTACTTTCTTTGCTTGATATTTTATATGTATTTTCCATACGGAAAAAAATATGGAACACATGTTTCCCCTTTGCAACAACAAAATAGCATTTTGCTTAGTGATTATATCAGAATTTGCTTTCTCATTCTTCTATTATTGAAAGTTTGGGCTTGCTGCTACTTTCTTTGTTGGTACAGACAGTGCAGCAACAAATATCTTTGAACAGATAGGATTTTCTCTTCTGAGTTACTTCCTTGGACTATATTCTCCAAAGCAGGAACACTGGATCAAAGGCTATGTTCCAACTATAAACTCTTCGATTCTATGGTCTTTATAGTGAATTTTTATGTAATGCTGTGCTAGAGGCCAGGATTTCTGGATGCCACTTTGACAATACACCAGTAGTGTACAAGAGTATCTATTCTCACAGATTCTTTATTTGAAAATATTTGTTTATTTTGAGGGGGGAACTATGAGGTAATATACTTAATTGTCTTGATTTTGAATTTTAAAGTTGTTTGTGTTTAAACATTTTCTTGAGCATTTCTGATTCGTGTGATTCTTCTTTTGTGTGTTCCCTGGGAACATCCCTCACCAGCTGCTGGAAACTGGATATCATGCCATATATTTAAGAACATACCTAGACTTTTAACCAATTACATTTAACCGAAATTTGGTGGATTCTCATTGTCTAGCACTTTTAAATTTAATAAAATTCATTAACTTTTCCTGCTAATTTATCAGGTCTGAATTTTAAAAAGTCACTTCTATGGTCCCTTAAATTATGAAAAGTAGAAGTTAAGAATAAACTTTTTAAAAACCTGGCAAGGTGTTGAAAACTAAATATAATAATGTACAATTTAATAAGTCATTTCATCAGTAATACAAAGGATAATATAACCAGGATTTAAATAATTAAGGTCAACTATTAGTAGTTTGAGTCATTACATTTAGTACAATGATCATTTCCTTTCTCTTCTCCTTATCTGTGCATTTTGAGAAGAATAAACTTTTTAAAAACCTGGCAAGGTGTTGAAAACTAAATATAATAATGTACAATTTAATAAGTCATTTCATCAGTAATACAAAGGATAATATAACCAGGATTTAAATAATTAAGGTCAACTATTAGTAGTTTGAGTCATTACATTTAGTACAATGATCATTTCCTTTCTCTTCTCCTTATCTGTGCATTTTGAGCATGTGCTTCCTTTAAGTCTTGCTGCCAAAAAAACAAAAAAAAAACCTGGCAAGGTGTTGAAAACTAAATATAATAATGTACAATTTAATAAGTCATTTCATCAGTAATACAAAGGATAATATAAGTTGGGTAAAGAGATGAGAATCTAGTTTCCTTGTTTTATAGAAGTTTAGAAGAAAATAAGAAGATGCTTTTTATTTAAATATAACATTTTTATTTATTATTTTCAGCTGGAAAGCCTTTAACAAGTAAAGAAGAAATCAAAGGGATTCCCTGGGCCTCCTGGACATGTGTGAAAGGCCCTGAAGTGAGTGGAATTTGGCCAAAATATACTGATGTCACTGACATCAACTCAGTGGATGCAAATTACAACAGCTCAGTGCTGGTGTCTGGAGATGATTTTGGACTGGTTAAATTGTTTAAATTTCCTTGTCTTAAGAAAGGTAAGGCCAAAAGAGGTGTTTCATTTAGATTTATTCTAGAATGTATATGCAGTGTAACTAAGGCTTATTTTCTTGGTGTCTATTCCTGCGGACTATTCATTCTATCTTTGTATACATATTATTCTCGAACATTTTAGAATGTGTTGTTGATGTTGTTTACTTTTAACATTCTAAAATACGGGGTTTTGCAAATTTAAGTCAGAATTTGTTAATAGTTTTTACTCGCCATTTTATGATTCATAAGCCTCATGTTTCATGTTTTAAACAAGTCATGCTTTATTTATATTCACATAAATACTCCTAATTTAATTATATATTATATTAAAATACTGTAAAAATTTTTGTTTTATAGCTAATTGTACTTATACATGAAAAAGCAAAGCAAATCCTTTTAGACATATTTAAATTAAAATCTGAAAGTGATTGTTCTTTCAGATAACATAGTTGATGGATCCTTCATTATAGCACACATCTTGCAAACAAGATTTACATAACTGGTGAAATCATTGAGAGAAATTAGATTCAGGACAATCCTCTCTGGTCTCACATTTTGTTATTTTGTTTCTTTTATTCTGTTAAAATCTCCTTACATCAATTTTTGTGGCACTTTCAGACTTTGTAGATTGTGACCGATTTAACCTCATCCTCTTCGTCCTTTGCAAGTTTAGGCAAAGCCCATACACAGGCTTTTCTGAGACTCTGCACCCTGAAAATCTGATCTTAAGAAAATAATCAGTAGGGACATGCCGCTGCCTGAAAAGGCTTTCACTGGCATGATTTTTAGATTAAGCAAGAAAAGGGATTGAAAAATGTAATCAGGAAGTCATTTTGAGTTAACTAGAAGTTTTGAAGCAATGACAATTATAGTACAAAATTGAACAGAAAATGTATTGCAAAACCACCATCACTTACACTCAACAAAATGACTATTAGTTAAAATATTCGAGGCACAAAATTACCTCAATGTGCCAAATTCAAACTCTTTTCCTTCTCCCTAATGGGTCTTTTGAGTAATAGGATATATCTCGTTAGACTGAGTAATGTACTTACAGAAAGTAAATTAGACAACTAGAAAGTATCTGGGGATTCAGAAGAAAAATCAGCGGGTTCAGAAGCAATGCTATTGGCCGCAAGTGTCAGGATTTGGGAATAAAGTTAACTTAATGAGAGTTGGTATTTCCTATGTATCACCAAGCCTCAAAGGGTGAACTCGGGTCTGAAAAATAGCAATGGAAATGTAGGTCTTGGGTTAGTTTATTAGAATGGGAAGGTTGCAAGAGGTGGAAGGAGGTAGTGAGTTGTGTTGTCTGTGAAAATGATACACCTTTATATATAAAACAACTCAGAGAATGAGGCACACAGCGGATGTCTGAATGAATAAGGAGAGGTGGACAGCCAGAGTGACAATACGGTGAGAGTAATAAAATCTACGTCAGTAATCTACAAAAGTTTCCATGTCGTCATAGCAAATTGGCTTGTTCTGCTTTTCATGACTCATGTTTATAAGTCTTAAAATTTGCCTTAGAGACATTCAGGCATTTGTAGCCTTTTTTTTTTTTTTTTGGCGCCAAAACTACTGGCGGGCAAGTTTATAAAAGACTTGTTGATGGGACTAATAACAATTGATGGAACTTGTCTCCCTATAACCCAGATTAGTGACAACTATTCCCCTCAATTTTTGAACCTGTAAACAGCCAAATATGAGCAGAGGCTGATGACTGTGAGAAAGTGTAGAGATTGAGCAAACATGACAGTTTTCTGTTGTGCAGTGCAGAAACAGATCAGATTGGCTACAGCGTGCTGAATGAGGGGAGAGTTGTGTAGTGTGAAGCTGGACAGGGCGTCGTGACGGGCCTTGTAGCGCTGTTAGAAATTTAGGTCTTAGTCTAAGTGCAGTGGAAAACTATTGAGGGTTTAAAATGGAGGAATGACATGACCAATTTGAATTTTTAAAAGACCACTTTGATATTGCGGGAAATGGATTAGGTTAGGGGAGGCTTCACATAGAATAATGCAGGAATCCAGGTGAGAGATGATGTGACTTGGACAAAGGTCTTAGGAACAGATGCGAAGAGAGGTGGTTGAGATTAGGAAACCGTGTCAAGGTAGAGCTGAAGGTCTCGCCGATGGATTGGATATGGGGATAGAGGAAAACAGGAATCGAGAATGACTTCTAAGCTTGAGTGATGGAGTAGGTGGTGGCACCATTCATAGAGATTGGAAAATGAGGAAGGAAAAGGTTTCATCTGTGTGTGTGTGTATAAGGGTAAAAAGGTAGGAGAAGAAGAGGCAGGGGAACGCGACAGTTTGTTTTATCCATGAGAAGTTTGAGGCAGTTATTAGACGTCCAAGCAGACAAGGCAGTCATCACTTCAAGGAGAGTGCAGGGCTGGAGAGGAACATTTGATAGTTGTGAGCATATGGACTGTATTTAAAGCCATGGGAGAAAGATCAGTACAGGGGAGATAAAGCTGAGACCTGAGACTTCCCTGTGGTTCAGAGGAAAAAGAGATGCCTTGTAAACTCAGTGTTCTAAGGGAAGCCTTAGAAGAGATGGATGTGGTCTTCATTTATTCTATAAATACTAAGTGCTGTTCTAGGAACTACAGATATATCAGTGAATAAAATCAGCACAAATCTCTGCCCTCATGGAGCTCTTATTCTTTTGAGGGGACATAGTCAATAGACAAAATATAAACACATCTAATGGTGAGAAGTGCTATAAAGAAAAATAAAGTAGGCAATGGGAGTAGAGTTCTCAGGTGGGTCATGTAGTTCTCAGGTGGGGCCACTCTATAAATAGGGTGGTCAGACAGAGGTCACTGATATGGTTTCATCTGACTAGAAACCTGAAGGAGTTATGGGAATCAGTCATTTAAGTATTCAAGGAAAAAGCATCCCTGACAGAGGGAACAGCAAGTGCAAAGGCCTAGCGACAGAAGAGTGTCTTGGATGCCTGAGGAATAGCAAAGAGGGCAGTGTGACTAGAGGTGGGGCAGGGAGGGAGTGAGAGAGAGACGCGAAAAAAGACCAGAGAGAGAAGGCCTGAATACTGATGACACTTTGCAGGTTCTGGTTCCAGCCTGTTAGTGTATGTTCATTATGAACAAATTCCTCTCCCCACCAAATTTAGCAGCTTAAATTAACATTTATTATCTTAGTTTCTGGGGGTCAGGGATTCAGGATCATCTTAGCTGCATGATTCTAACTCAAGGCCCGTTATGAGGTTGTAGTCATCTGAAGGCTAGACTGAGGCCAGGGGATCCACTTCCAAGATGGCTCACTCACGCGGCTCATGACAGGAGGTCTCAGTTTCTTGCCATGCAAGCCTCTCCACATGCGGCTAGAGTGTCCTTACCATGTGGTATCTAGAGATCCAAGAAAGAGAGCAAGGAGGAATCTATAGCACCTTTATAACCTCACCCCCTCTTGGATGTCACACACCTTCACTTTTGCCATATTCTATGGCAAATTCTATTCATTTGCCATATTCTATTCATTTTGAATTAGAGAATTTGTGGACATATGCTTTTCCAGCTTTTTTGAGATATACTTGACAAATAACAATGTTTAAGGTGTACGATGATTTCATGTATGAATATATTGTGAAATGATTTCTATTTTAAGGTTAGTTAACACATCTGTCACCTCACTTAGTTACCTTTTCTTTGTGGTAAGAACATTTAAGACCTACTCTCTCAGCAACTCTCAAGGGTACAATATAATATTGTTAACTGTAGTCATCGTGCTGTACCTTATATTCCCCAAATTTATTCATCTCATAAATGAAAGTACCCTTTGACCAACATGTTCCCATTTCTCCCACCCTCAAACCCCTAGTAACCACAAATCTATTGTGTGTTTCTATAAGTCTGACTTTTTTAGAATTGTGGGCATATTTTTAAAGCACTACAAAGAGACAATGATCTCTGAGGGAGAATAGCCCAACAGATACGGAAAGAATATGCTTTGCTTCTCGATTATCGAATTAACATCAGCCAGCATTTCCAACTGAACTGAGTTGGAATCTGTTTGACTTTATAAACTTACCAAAACTGATTTAGGCAACTCTATGAAATAAGTAGGGTTGCTTTTGATACCCAAGACCTCCCTTTCCCCTCTGTGGCAGTATTCCCCTAATCTTTTCTGGAGGCCCTGATATAATTGTACCTCACCTGATCAGAACATGCTCTCAGGAAAGGAACACGTAGCAGTCATTTTCACTTTCATATACATTTAAATCATTACCTCTCTAGTGAGCATTTAAATTTTAAACATGTGAGAGTTGAACAGATGGCCTTTTCACTCAGATTTCATTTGGAGGGACTATAAAAGGTAGAAGTGTTTTTGAAGGAGATATGAGGTTCTTGTTGACCCCTTTGAAATCTCCCACAGTCTTTAGAGTAGTAGGTCCCCACTTGATAAGGTGGACCCTGCTTATTTTCATGAGTGCCTTTATGATGTTGTGTACTGAACATACACTGAAGACTTTCTTGCAGTAGTTCAGCCACAAGTATAAGTTCAAATAGTTTTTCTGTTGCATTCACTACCTGGCATTGGTGTTTACTGAGTGATCAATGTAAGAGAAAAAATTTTATTCTTCCAACTTGACATCGACATGACCCCAACCGATAATTTGACTTTTCTTCCTCACAGAGTTTTCTGTTTCTCAATTGGCAAGGACTTTTTTTCATCTTGTATCTAAACAAGAATGTGTGAGATATTCATTCTTTAGCATTTTCTTTCAGAATCAATGAAGCAGTAGCCATTAGGTTAGGATGTGTCTTTGGCCACAGGGCTTAAATTTTAAGACCCATTTTTAGCTTAGTCCATGCTGGATTAATTGAGATATCTTTTGGAGCATTTGCTTATTTGTTATTACATGTAATGTTGAAAATTATTTTGTAATATATTTAAAGATTTTTCTCCTCAATATGAATAAGAATGTAATTTTCTAACCAATAAATTCTATTTTTTTATATAACTAATCTTCTCAAAAATATCTTCAGGAGCCAAATTTAGAAAGTATGTGGGCCATTCTGCACATGTCACAAACGTCCGCTGGTCTCATGACTTTCAGTGGGTTTTAAGCACAGGAGGGGCTGACCACTCAGTTTTCCAGTGGAGATTTATTCCAGAAGGTGTCAGCAACGGCCTGCTGGAAACTGCACCTCAGGGTAAAACCAGTAATAATTTTTTCAACATCTGTTTATTTTTTAATAAAGTTTTAAAGTATGTTCTAACATCTCTTCTGGAGGTAAAGAGTTAAAACAATTTTGAAAAATTTATTCTTATAGTAAATTTTAACAAAAGAACAGAAAACCTTTTGAGATGAATATGGGTCGGTTGAATAGTTTCTTTCAAAGGATTTTGCTTACACCAAATGCAAATTGAAAGTCTAAGGTTTACATGAGAATTAACCTTTGAAGATAATATGAATGCATATGTTTCAGCTCCTTAGGATGATTGTAATGGGCAGTGGGTCTGCTTGGTTAGATTATGGGGTGACAGGGTAACTTTTGTAATAGAAGTTGCCTCCAGAATGGGGTTCAAAGAATAGTCTACAATCTGGGCCAATATGTTCCAGTTCAATGGATGTGTAGTCTTTTTAATTATTATGATG